TTTTTTTTTTTTTTTTCGCTTTAGTTTATGACATTTTCTACTTCCATCAATTTAGTGATTCTTCATGTCAACTTTTTTTTTTGCCTCGTTATTGAAATTTCTTGAATTATTGCTTTAACAGTGAATGTTTGTACTGTTGTAACGATCAAAAACACTAAATCATTGGTTTTGCCACCTGCCTTTTAATGTTTTACAGATTTTAAACAATTTTTAGTCTTAGTATATAATTGCTTTTGTTGCTTTTCTTTTCCCAGTTATTGTCAAAATTATGATGGCTTTTGGTGCTGGTATCTTGCTGTACTACATCTGAATGCCCAACAAAATAACCTTGAACATAGAGCTAACCTATATGCCGCAGGTTTAATTGAGGTACCCAAAGTTAAATACTACAATAGCTGCATTATATGAATAGATATTTATGTATGAGCAAAATATTGTCATTTTCGTAAGTGGTTATCTTTTGGCAAGGATAGTGGTACTCAATTTACTGTCGGCTACAGCACTTGATGTTAGTATTAAATTTTTAGCTAAATTCCAAATTTGTCTTAATGTTATGCTGTCATCCAGCAAGATGGATATATTTTTATGCATCAGATGAAAAAATTTAATGTTAGCTGCTGCATATAGTACAGTATTTAGGTGTACCAAATTCCTAAATGATCAATATATTTATAAAAATTGGATAAGTTCAAATAAATGTTTCTTTTTCCCATGTTTTTCCTTCTTGTGTCGTTGCTTTATTTTTTGGTAAGTGATAAAGACGAAGAACAAAAGAAATAAGAGAAGTGGAAAAGAAGGATTCTTTCATAAACGAAGAAGTAGACAAACCTAAAAAAGTCTTTTCTGCTTTCGGCTTAATATCCTAAAGAATCAAATACAATAAGGAAGTTTTTTTCGACTTCAAAACGATGAGATGAACAGTTCTGAAGATTAAAACAATTTGAAAATTTCTGCAGTGATTGTTTTGTAAATTTGTAGTGAATTAGACAGTGTTGATGAATTCCAAAACAGTTGAATGTTTGTTACCGCATTCCATTCTATGTTTTTACCATTCGTTCGGTTTCTTTCAACAAAAATATTGCTTGTCCATTGTTTTTGTTGATTTTATTGATGCTGTCATTTGCTCGGGTTGTGTAGTCATTAAAACAAGCAAACTTTCTTGGTTAAGCCGTCATCGGGGCACCACCGTCAGCACCGCCACCACCACCACCGTTCTCCGTCTTTGCATAGCGTACCGCTGCCCACTCTCCATTCTTTTATTCAGCTCCTCCTTTTCTTCCTCTGTTCCTCCACCCACTTGCGCACTATTACCTGACGATCTTCGCCGGGCGCTGCTGATCGAATAATGACTGGTTAAGACAGAACCTATGCAGCGTTTTGGTTTCTTTTTATTTAGACGGTATCCTTTCAGTGATTATGCTGAAAAGTTTCAATTTAAATTATTCAAATATCCCGGCAAATTTTATTTGTCTATTTATTTTTTTCTTCACTATTTTCCAGTTTATTTTCATTCAGCTGCTTGAAAAGTACAGGAATTTTGTTATTTTTCCGATAGGTTTCTTTCCTTTCCATTGTTTCTTTCGACTCAAACGATTTAACTATGGAAGGTGTTTGTCTTTGTTCATTCTGTCTCATACTTGCATTTATACAAGTTTCAAATATTATAAATGTATAGATATATTTGTTAACTAAATGTACAGTTGTTGTATGGATGTTTAGAAATAAGACTTCACTAAGTTCTAAGCTGCAAAAAAAAGAAATTATTCGTCTAGCAGAGTTAATGTTGTTGGGCTCTCCAAAAGAACTACATATTTTTGTTAACTATTTGTGCTAAAAAACAAAATTTTTCTACATTCCTTTTCGCCTGTTTCAGATCTGTTTGA